TTTAGTGTTGTTTTACTATTTCCAATTGAGTTTAGAAATCAACTTTTTAGTATATGTTATATCAGCCATTCAGACTCTGGGTAGTCGACCGAATGAAAAGACCAGCCGACTTACCACTAGCAGTTTTTTAGCAATAGCTTTGTCAGTCAACTAGTCGACCGATTGTTTAAATCAGTCGACCAAACAATATTTTCAGTCGACCGACCAAGTATTTTTTTAGTCGACCGACTGCGTTTTATTTTTTCTAGAATTAGCCAACGGTCGAATGCTCAGTCGACCCATATAGCTATCAGTCGACTGATCATCTGTAATGACAAGTTTTTATTTTGATCTGTTTGAGAGGCTATAAATAGCCTTTAAGAATTATTTGAAGTATAAGAGTTTTACAAGGAAGTTTAGCCCTTTTGGCTGCACATTTTTGAGAAAGAGAAGTGTGTTTGTTTATGAAAAAAATAGTTTTTACAAAGCGAAAGATCTTGATTTCGGTTTTGAAGCGTTCATCGTCAAATCTCTATCTCTCTTTGTTTTTGGAGAAGTTTTCTAAACTCATCCTCTAGCTAATCTATATTTTGATTATTGTAATAAGCTAGATTTATTTGAGTTTGATTTCGTTTTACTCATTGTTTACACACACAACCACTTGAGCTTTAGTATTTCACTTGTAGTAAAATCGGGTTGTGAGAGTATTTCATTGAGAGTGAGTTACATTTTCGTTCTCATCTATTTTGAGAACAAAATTCCATATTCACACTTATTGTTAAACACGTTGTAATACACAAGAACACTTAGAGGAGTGGTTGGAAAAGGCATGGGTCAATTCCAAGAGAAGTGAGTTGGTTGTAAATCCTAGGGAGAGGTTGTAATTCCAAACACTTGAGGAAGGTGACACGGGTAGTCCAACACTTAGAGAAGTGTAACTTGTGTGATTGAAATCATGTGCTTTGTAAAAGTTATCGGTAAACTTTGAAAATCGTTATTGTGTAGATTCTTGTATGATAGTGGATATCTCCTCGAGGTGAGGAGCGGAGACGTAGGTCAAGGGTTGACCGAACTCAGTGATCATACCTTGTGTTTGCGATTGTTTTTGGTAGACTATTATTCTTTACATCTTGTGCTTGTGTTTATATCGTCTATTGTCTTATTATTTATCCTTGCATACATCTTTGTATATCATATTGCTAGGATATTGTCTTAATAAGTTTTAATTTGGCATCGTAATCGGATTAGATTAGCTTTACCCTATTCATCCCCCTCTAGGGTTCTTTCTCATTAATGGAGTACAAGATCGATGATTCATTGACATACAGAAAAGAACCCCCAGGAAAAAAAATAAATTTTTTCTTCATTTTATTTTTATTCTTTCTTTTGTAAATGAGATAATTATAATATTAAAAGAACCTGAAACAGTCCCAAATTAGTTATGCATCATCTCGACTCGATCTTAGGCAAGGCGAGTCCAGTAACGTCTTCACTTGACCCTTACTAAGATGGGTCGGGTTGGAAGTCCTAACACAAGCCCCTCAGTTCAGGACGATTCTATACCTCTTCATTTGGCAAGACCAGGTTGAGAACTTTCAAATCCAGGGTGGACGAATAAAAAGGCGTTCTTTGTCGACCCACTTGGAAAGCCGAGTTGAGAGGCGATTTGTCCTTGAACTCCTCGCTAACAGCCAGTCACCATGACAGTGAATGCATGGTCGAAATCATCATTACTCCAGCCCCCAAAGTCTTCATGATTCATCACCCTTTGTTAGTGCCATGCCTTCCTAGTTACCATCACATTAAACACATAGGTGACTCATCTCATCTACAGCCGATACCTATAGAGTATCTGCCAACTCAACTACCTACCGAGACTTAGCCAAAGTTACGTAAACAACCACGTTAACTAGGTATAAATAAGTTCACCGCCTACTAACCAAATGTACGCATTTCTCTACATATTTAGAGAGAGCTACATCAGTTCCTTGATTCCCTTTAGATCGTAAAAAACTTGATTGTCAGAGGAGTCACCGAAGAACTTAACTCCAGTCCTCTAATGTGTTACAGTTTTGCACAACTCTCTACATCGGGGGTTCAACCATTAAAGGAGGTCAATGGACTATAAGCTCTTTAGATCAACCACAAATCCCGCTGTTGAGAATTCTGAAATCAACAGTTCTATATCAGTCCCTCAAATCTTTGAGATTGCTCGAGTCCTTAATGATCAAAATGTCTTCAACTTTTGTTTTTCTCCAAAAACCCTATGCTTACAAACCTCAACTTCGTTTGGATATCATAGTGTTTTTCTTATTTTGTTTTTATAAAAACACCATAGTGTTGTGTTTTTTCTTCAAAGCTTTCTCAAAACACCTTGTTCAGTGTTTTTGGTCAATCCTAGTTTGACACGTAACAACATTATTATTAATATATTATTATTATATTATATATTAATTATAATAAAATATTTTATAAATAAAATATTGTAATATTTAGTTTACATTATTATAGTATTATAAATATTAAATATAATACAATATAATACAAAATAATATTATATAAATGTATTATAATATTATATTGTATTTTAGTGTGTCATATTATACTATAATTATTACATATTTTTTTCAAATAATTATTAATATAATATTAAACAATTATGAATATAATATAATATTATTAATAATGTTACTATTATTTTATTACTATTATATTAATAATAAATTAATATATTATAAATATGTTAATTTTATACAATATATTATTCTTTCTAATATGTTAGAGTTTATTAATAATACTTTGATAATATATTACTAACTTATGATATAAACAAATATTGTATATTATGATTATATTATTTTTACATTAACATTTCTTAGCAATGAATTATTTTAGTGTTAAAAATTATTTTACTTTATAATATATTATATTATTTATTCTATAATATATTAATATTTTATATATTATACTACATTTACCATACAATATATTATTATTATATTATTGTTTTATTATTAAATATGTTACTATTATATAATATTTTATAACTATTAATTAATTATAGTTTTTATTAAAAGTATATAATATATAGTGATTATAATATTGTATTGTATATTATTATATCATTATTATATTACTATTTATTATCACTAATCTTTTTAATTATTTTTATTAGTTTCTTTATATTTTATTATTTAGTATTATATAGATATATTATTATTGTTATTATTATGCTTTTATATTATTTAATAAATATTTTTAATATATTAGATTAACCATAATATAATATAGTATTATTTCATATAATATAATAAGCATATCGATAATAATTATATATTAATTATATTTAATATATTATGTTAGATATTATATTAACACCTCATCAAACTCAAAATCAAAACACCAAACTTAAAACACCTAAAAGGTGTTTTGAAATAAATGTTGTGATTTTGGTTTGAGGATGATTTAGCTTAAAAAACACCATAGTTTCCAAACACATGGTGTTTTATTTTTTACAAAAACACTATGAAAACAAGTAAAACGTCATGGTATCCAAACAGAGCCTAAAGCCATTGAGTGACCAATTTGCATGGGCCCTTATGATTTGAGGGCTTAGTAGCAGGGTCGGCCCCGAGCTTTGGGTTGCCCTAGCCCAATCCAATTTTGGTTGCCCCTTATATTAAAAATTTGGTACGAACAATAACGATAAAAATGAATACATATAATACAATTTAGCATTCTATATTAGGCTCAAACTGATAATATTCACATGCAAAATCAATATTCATATAAGAAGAGATTACATTTCATCTTGACGTTGCTTGACTCTTCTATTATGAGCTCCAGATTTTTGTTTTCTAATCCTTACTCGGTTTTTGTCATCTCCCGTCAATGTGTACTGTAGTATGTAAATATAATTATATAACACATATGAAATCACAATCAACTAAACTTAGCAATATCAATGAAGGATAAATATAGCATTATTATAACCCCCTTCACTCATATGAAAACAGTATGAAAGACAAAAAGATGGGTTAATACTTGCGGACATACCCCTTATCTTCAAGAAAAACATCACCCATAAAATTGACAGGTTTAAAATTGAAGCCTGAAGGACGGGTCGTCGGAGGCTCGCCGGCTCGGTAGGGAGGAGAGGAGCCGGCGGCGGCGGCTCGGGAAGGAGGACTGTTGGAGAGGAGGGTTTTTTATTTTTTTTCTTATTTTTTGTGAACGGGAGCTGCGGGACAGAGAGTCAGAGACGGGGAAAATTGGATTTGGGAATGGCTGACGGAAATAAAGGTGGGTCATTACTAGAGTTCTTTACAAATATAACCCTTAACATTTTTTTCATAAAGGTCCTTTTACAATGCCTACTTCAAAAATCAAAGAAAATTACAGTTTGAGGGGTGTAGGAGCGCTCGGGATGGGTTGCCCCCGGCCCTGGGTTGCCCCAGCCCCGGGGCTTGGTGGGCTTACCCCAGGGCCGGCCCTGCTTAGTAGCAATTTCAAAGGTTCGAGGGACTAATATGTAATTATTGAATATTTGAGGGACTAGTATCTAAAAAAACCCCAACTAATTAGTAATTATTTTGTATAAGATTTAACTATATTCAATGACTATTCGTTAGGCTATAAAAAAATTGTTATAAATAATTATTATTATGTATGTAACTTTTTGGTTTGTTTTGAAATTATTATTATAGTACAAGTCTATGTTTCTTTTAAAAATTATCCTGTTTTATCCTAGTTATAGTACTACTTAACCACCACTATAAAATGTTATCTCCAAATAATCCTAGTTTTAATCTTTAGCTCCACGTGACTAACCGCCTAAAATTTACCCAGGCATAAATTCACATTTATTAAAGTGTAAAATTACTTGCACTCGTCATCAGCGTGGGACCATCCCTACTAATTTATTGTGGCAGTAAATAGTAAATACGAGGCTTTGGGAGTCGCTAAAGTTAGATTCAGTAGTGAGGCTAATTGAAGTAAATTGTAGGTGAGCTCAAGGTCTAAAAAGGAACTCACCCAATAATAGCAAAGCCCCAAACAGATCAGCAAGTGATGCTCCTATAACTTTACACTTGCTCACAAATTGGCCGACTCTTCTCTCTCCCTCAAAGGTGAGTCCTTTTTCTGTTAAATTGTTAACTTATCGAAAATTTCTTCTAGGGTTTTAATCTCTGTCTTCTTCTGGGTTGCTGAGTTGTTCTTCTCATGTTCACTAGGGTTCCAATTAATTCTTTGTATAACCTTTAGGCTGCAAAGATCACAACTCTTTGCCTTTTTTGTAGAGATTAATCAGTTATTTGAGCTGGTCTTGATTCATTCTCCTCCTTTTTTTTTCTTTTTGGTTTGGGTTGGGGGGGGGGGGGGGGGG